CTCCACACCTTGTTATCTTGGATTCTCTAGTGAATGTTTTTCAGTAGCAGAAACTGCACATTTGGCTCATGTCAAGCTAACTACTGTCTGCCTTCTTCACTACCCTTTCTGTCTGTGCTGACATCTTCAGAAATCTATTGACTTGTACACCAAGGTCTCTTTGTTCCTCAGTACTCCCAAGGAACCTAACACTCATTGTGTATATCCTTCCTTAATTAGACCTTCCAAAATGCATCGACTTGCACTTATCAGGAATCAATTCCATCTTCAGTTGCTGTACCTAATTTACCAGCTGATCAATATCAGACTCTAGCCTGAGACCATCCTCCTCACTGTCAACAACACGCCTAAATTTTGTGTCATCTGTAGACTTACTGATTATACCTTCTATATTCACATACAAGTCATTAACATACATAACAGCAAGGATTCCACAATAGTTTGTTCCAGGAAACTGTTATGAAAGGAATTCATCAGTGCGTTTTCCAGATGACTTTTCCAATCTCCATTCTGTATAAACTCTGCAGGTTCAGCAGTATCTGTGGAAAAAGAAACTGAGTTAACATTTCAAGTCCAATATAAGCCCAGCATCCACAGAACTTTGCTTTCATTCCTGGCAGTTCACGTGTGCAGAGAATTGAAACTGAGACGGAGGCTGAGAACTTCCTTTCCTGTCGTTTTTTGCAGCATTGCAAGCAAGGTCTTCATCTGTTGCCCGTCACTAATTGCCTTTGAATTGAATGGCTTGCGAAGCCATTTAATACAGCAGATAAGAGGCGACCATACAGCTTAGGACTGGAGATTCATGTAGGCCAGACTAACAAAGAACAGCCAGTTTCCTTCCCTAAAGAACATTAGTGAACTCTTTACAATGATTCTGTTGAGAATCCTCCTAGTGGAGGCTCAGTTATATAATTTTGAGCAACCAAACCATCCCACCGGTCCCTGAGCAATGTTATCAGAGCAGAGATACTCAGAATTGTTTGGCACCTGTATTTTCTCTTCTCTGTCACTGGAAAATGAACATCATCTGGATGTAACAAAGGAAAGATTATATCTAATTAGATAATTAAAAATTCAGAATTACCAAGTGGTCACCATGAAGAAGACTGAAACAGTAAAATTGTTTTCTATATGTTTGAGAAGCAAGTTGATTTATATTCTCAAGTACAAATCAGTGATTACTCTATACAAATGGTCTTGTCTTTCAGGGACGGACAGCACTCCATTGGTCTTGCAACAATGGTTACCTGGAGGCTGTTAAGCTTCTGTTGGGCTATAGTGCCTTTCCTAATCATATGGAGATCAATGAAGAGAGGTAACGCATGAATGCTCTCACTCAACTTGTTTTTCATACTATTGGATCTGATTCAGTTAATTGTTATGATCACTGCTAATGTTATTATTGGACGAGTCAGATCCCAGGCTGAAACTCGGCTCGATAGATTTTTTTTTTAGATTTTAATGAGATAGTCTCTCACTGAAGCATAAGCATACAATGTTGCAGATTTATTCTAAAAATAAAATCGAAGTTTATTCCACAAGAAATGAAGATAAAATAGAACAGACATTTAAAGATTTTTAAAATCACAAAATAAAAATACGATCCCATTAATCTCAACAGACAGAAGCTACAATTCCCTACTCTATGCCATACAGGATTTGATTTAGCAATTCTCGGCCATGAGAAACTTCCTTAATTTATCATATAATCTAGTTTGTTATCTCTGTTTGAAATAGCCCTTCCAGAGTTTTAACCAAGCACTTCTGGTCTAGAATTTTAAGTAAACCCCTTACACTGACCCAACAAATTGTTAAAATTCTAAACTACCTTCACCTTTTCTCAGGAACAACTGCTTTACACATCCACCTTCAGCTAGGATCTCGACAGAATTGCCTGAACCGAAGCTAAAAACATCTCTTTTATTTCAAGCTATTGGTGTTTACCCAAACCAAAAAAATTGTAGGATCTTCTATCTGAAACTTTAATGTGCTGCACTGTTTACTTTGTTCACTCGTAAACTCTCACAATATAAATAAAAATCCCATTAATCTCCAAGATGTCTTTCTACTGTTTCAAAAATTACCCTGGCTATAGTAATTCGTACAAGTTAATCATTAAACACCTTCAGACACACAGCCCATTTGTCGCTTGTTTAACTTCAAAGATCCAAACTCAAAAATTAAATGATATCAAATGTAAATAATTCAACCACCATACATCACAGAATGAATCAATAATTTTTAAAAGTTGCCCCTCATAAAATAACATTCATTTGAAGCTTTTGAACTGAGTTGGCATTTTGAACTGAGAGTTAAGTGGACACTCATTTTCCTTTGGGATGCAAAAGGGTGCATTAGTTCAGCAGACTGTCCATCAATAAGTATTTAAATCTAACTCAGACTGGCAAACTATAGGGTTGGCAAGGTCATTTGAAGCATTTTTAACCAAGTTTCTAGTCAGTGTTAGTCTACAGAATTAAGGTATTCATAACTTGTGTTCTTTGACACCATTTCAAAGATTCTGTGTATAAGAAATGGGGATGTTACACTGGGCAAGTCAAGGTACATTTTAATATTAGAATTAGAATGCCTTATTTGGGAAGGATAAAGGGGCTGCTGGTGACTTATTCTCATAATGATTTTCAGTTCCCTATACTTTTAGGAGTGTCTTTGTTAGCTTTGATATCTCTGTAATTTTTTAATAATATCCGTGTTTCTATCTATATCTTTGGAAGGAAATCAATAAAACGTTGCTGTTTGCAACTAAGCAATTGTTTTGTAAATGTCTTTCTCTATCACAACAATAGCTTGCACGTATATAGTGCATTTGGCATAGGAAAACTTTTCAAGTTGCTTAATAGGAGCACAATAATAAGACAAAAATATACGTCAAGACAAGGAAGGTGAGAATAGGATAAGGTCTAAATGAAAGCGTGATCAAATCAATACAGTTTAAGGATTGCCCTAAAGCAGCAGAGAAAAATAAGTGGAGAGGTTTAAGAAGTGAATTCCAAACCCTGGATGACTGAATGCATGACTTCCTGTGGCAGAATGAAGAGAATGGTCAGGATGGGCAACAGGACAGAGTTACAGGAACACAGCATTCTTAGAGGATTGCAGAAATGGAAGAGATTACAAAGATGGGGAGTCAGATAGGACATGAAGGAATTTCAACATGCGGATAAATTAAAAATTGAGATATTGGTCACCTGAGAGCCAATGAAGTTTGATCATGATTGTATTGAGTGGTGGAGGAGGCTCAAGGGGCCAAATGGTCTACTCCTACTCTGTTTCTTATGTTGTCATATTTTTACAGCACTACTCTTTTATGGCAAAATCAGCAGAAAACCTTATAGTTTGCAGTAACTTTAAAGTGAAGACTCTACATTTGTTTAAATAGGATATATTTTTAGCTGATAGATTTTCAGAAGATGCACCATTACTTTTAGTACTTATACTGCCTCCAAGACTAAACAAAATTAAGCCACTTTCAGAGCAGTCTTCAAACCAGTTTGGGACAAGGACTGTCTTTGAGTTGTGACAATTAAGTATAAATTATTTGGACAATTCTTCCTATTACTGTGTAATGACTGACTTAAAACAGGTCTGTGTTTGCTACGGTTGTAGACAGATGGACCAAAATACCTCACAATTTTAAAGAAACACATGAAATAAACAAAAATATAATGAGAAAAAACTAACAAAGACTCCAAGTCTGAAAACAGGTTTGTGGTACATATACTGAATTGATGACAGCTGTGGCAGTATTCAAGCTTTCTAATTCCAGTAAATATGTTCTTAATTATTGCAACTAGTTTAACAACATTAAAAAAAACTTAACAACACTAAAAGAAAAACATGGTTTCCTCTTAAAGCGAGACGTAAATGGGGTGCATCAACTGCAGTTTAATGTTAGGTGTGTCACAATACTTGCTCCCCGTGTTGCAGCTTTCAGTTGGTGATTCAAGAACAGCTTTAGCAGAGCGTTCAGATTATATTGTTGTCAGTCTTTTGGGTCTATTTCGGAGGTTACCAGCAGAGGTTTCTGGCCACATGGATTGATTGCAGAGGATTAGAACAGACTTTATGGGTATAGAAAAATCTGCCTCGATTCATCTGTATTACTTTAGTGTGATGAATGATTTGGCAGGCTTTCTAAATCAAAATACAGTTTGATTTTCCCTTTCAATTTGTATTCTTGTGAAAGGTCCTGAGGAGTGCAAGATTAAAAGCTTTGACAAAATGTATCGTTTTTCAGCAGTACTCAATTTCTGTACTATTAAACAACTAAAGAAACTTTACCTGAACAATCCCAGAATTTTCTGCTCCCTTAAACAGCATAGACAATGGAGGGAAATGTGAGAAAATTATAATCTTGATATCAAGAAAAAGAAAATCCTTACTTGCTGCAGAATCTCACGAATTAGCAGTGACTACCTTATTTTCATGCACTTCATTTTTATCACCTTCCCTATGAAACTAGACAACACCAGTTCCCAACATGTAAGTCAGAGCAGTTACCTTGTGGTAGCAGCTTGCCATTTGCTTCTCCAGGCCTTCAACTGACTTTGTCTGTGTCACATTGTCCCTGCATGTCCTCGGGCACCATCCTCCTCCATCCTTTGTTCACTTGAGTCAGCATCAACAAAAACCAGCCTCACCATTTCAACATGCCTGCTTTCAGCGTTTGAGTGAAGATTTGTAGCTTGGGTGCTGGTTATAGATGTTGGCGTGTTTGCCGAGCTGGGAGGTTTGCTAGCAAATATTTCGTCCCCTTACTAGGTGACATCCTCAGTGCTGTGGAGCCTCCTGTGAAGCGCTGTTGTCTTGTCCCGGTTCAAACTTATATGGTCTGGCTTTTGCTGTTTCTGGTAGGTGCCAGTTCTAGTTGTGCGGTGTAATGGTTCGTGTATCAGGCCTAATTCAATATGTTTGCTGAAAGAGTCCGCGGATGAATGTCAAGCCTCCAAGAATTCCCTGGCCGTCTTCTGCTTGGCTTGTCCTATGATAATAGTGTTGTCCCAGTTGAAAGTGTGGTTTTTCTCATCTGTGTGTATTGAAACCAAGGACATCTGGTCGTGTTGTTTAGTTGCTAGCTGGTGTTCGTGGATGCGGGTTGCTATTTGTCTGCCTGTTTGTCCCACATAGTGTTTTGTGCAATAAACACATTGAATTAGACCTGATATACTGACCATTACAATGCACAACCAGAACTGGCACCTACCGGAAGCAGCAAAAACTGGACCATATAAATTCGAACTGGTACAAGACAATAGCGCTTCACAGGAGGCTCCACAGCACTGAAGATGTCACCTAGTAAGAGGACGAACGTCTGCTATCAAACCTCCCAGCTCGGCGAACACATCAACATCTATATGCCTGCTTTCAAACCATTTCAGGACTTGGTTTTGGAATACAGGGAAGAGTATGACATGCATTCTTCTGCCATGTTGTTCAGCACACAGGGACACATGGGCAACCGTGCACCTACACAGCATGCATCTTATGGTTCTTAGCTTCATTTCTTCAGCGCTCACTCGCTTTGCGCTTACTTGCACAAGCTTTAGTGGCTTACATTACTTTTCACCATATAGGCTCTTCACTGTTGGGTTACATTCTGACAGACTCTGTGGCTTGTATTGCCTTTTAATGCAAATGGAGAGACATGCAGTTTGTCACAGTTTGGAGCACTGAACAAAGGGGTGGACAGGTCATTATACAGCACCATGCTATTTCAATGTCATAGCAACAGCACTAGCCAGCAGGTTACATGCCAGGCATATTGCATATGCTTCAACCAAATGGCCATTACTGATCTGAGGATGAAGATGAAGATCAGGACATTGATGAAGAAGGACATCCAAGAGAAAATAATAGAGCAATGCATCAGCCAGTTTTGAGAAGTCAAAGCTAATTTCGTTGAAGCCTGTTTCCAGAATGAATGCGCTGGATTTAGACTTCCATTAATTGTGTAATTTTCACTTCATTAAATGGCAAGCAACCTATGTTTAGTGCATCGTATACATGGACCTGGTTATCTTTGCAGTTCCTGAACTTTCCTTTTTCTAAACCAGCGTTCCTTATCCATGCGATTGAATACTTGTATTTATGTTTCCTTAAATATGGCCAAAAATGGAGAAGATATTTATTGATATTTAATGTGTTACCCACTTTTTTCTCACATTTCCTGTGAGAATTCCAAAACATAGCACAAGCATTGGGAGGTAGCATTCTAAACTCTGTACAAATCATTGACCTTCTGCACACAATCTTTCATTGTACCATTGATAGGCTTGTGAGTGAAGGTGGCTGATG